TGAGAAAAAAACAGTACATGCCAAAGATCATACAGATCAGAGAGACATGGCTAGAATTTAAATTTGTGCAACCATTTCTTAATATTTCAAGGCAGAATGTAAGACAGTCTCTCTGTCCCTCAGGAATTTAGGATCACAAAAATTAAGAATGTATAGGGTTTATTTTGGCATAGATTAAAAATGGTCAGTTGGGCACTCTTAAGTAATGATAGTATCAAATATCTATTGAGTACACACTAAGTATCAGTAACTATGGTAAGTACATAACATTTTGGTAAGTGTGTTGCTAAGTGAGACATGTTGTTTCAGATCTTGACTCTACTAATTAGGTCAATGGTCTTGAACTAATTACTTAATTTCTCCATGGCTTGGTTTCCTTCTTTATAAAATGAGCTTATTAATAATATTTACTTAGAATTATTGTGAAGATTTAAAAGTTTTTGCTAGGCACGTGGGAACATTCAAACTGTAAGCTAACATAAAAATTATTAGACCTACTAATAGTGTAGTAAAGTAATGGAATGAGGCCATATATTCCTTTACAGCAAAGCCATAATATAAACCCAACCAGGTTCACCCCATTATGTTCAAGGTTTTTCAGAACTTTAACAATAGCAGAGAGCCCAAAGGTTGTGCAAGATCTTAACTGAAACATATAAATTATCAAGACTAGATTTATCCTTTTTTTTTAAGATAGGGACCCTAGAACCAGTGAATGCAAGTTCCTAAACTGAATGAAGAGCTATAGCAGAGAAGAAATTATAATCTTTTTTCTAACCACTGTTCTTACAAAGGGACAATTTGTGGCTGTAATAGCACTGTTCATGTCTGAGAACATGACAAGCTTCAGTGGTTTTTTATTCATTTATGTGAGCATAACTTTCTCACTCTTTATAAGTATACTACATATGCAGGAAAGAGGAACCAATTGAGTTTGTAGTTTTGTTTGAGTATTTTTGTATTTTATAGACTAAGGGAGTTTGGCTTAATTTGTTATCTCATTTTGTCATCTGCATATCAAAATTAGAATGGCTGAAATGGTTTAAGGACCATGATTTTGGAGGTTATCTGGTTTTGCGTGAAATAATTAGGTAATAAGAGAAAAGGAGTTTTTAACCTTAAATTTATTTTGTCACTCTGATACCATGTCTTTTATGTATGAACTCAGACTCTAGATTCAGAGAACTCTGGTTTCAAATTATATTTTGCTAAATACTAGTTAGGTGTTCTATGTATATTTTATCAGGAAAGCTTCAACTAATTTTCATTTCTGTAAGGTATTATTACCCTTGCATGTGCATCAAACTGGGCTTAATACCATATTCATTTAGATAGTATTTTTTCAGAAGTACTCACAACTATTTTTAAATTTGAGACTCATAACTCGGATTTATTTAGGCAACAAATAACTTGTCTATATTTTAGACAAAAGTGTTGAGGGAAATGAAGTTCAGAGTTCACACTTAAAATTGATGACTAGTCAAAGGTAGAAATTAGAAATCCTCTTGCACTCTGAAATTGAGAAGCTAGAGGAGTGCCTGGGTGGCTCAGTAGGTAAGCATCCAACTCTTGATTTTGACTCAGATAATGATCTCAGGGTCCTGAGATTGAGCCCCAGGAGACTGCTTGAGGATTCTGTCCTTCTTTCTTTGTCCCTCCACCTTACTGTGCTCTCTCTCTCTCTAAAATAAGTAAACAAATCTTTAAAAAATTAAATAGGGTAAAGTTTAGAAGCTAGAAATATAGACAGTAGTCTATACTTGGTGAACCACACAAGTTTGGAGACACTGAAATGAAAAAAATAGGGAAATTAAACATCTGTGGACTTGAGAATGGAGAAAATTGGAAATCAAGCCCCATATTTAGCAGTATTGTTTTTTTAGGCGGTTAGACCACACATTTATTTAGTTGGAAAATTAATTTGGTATCAAAAGAAGACAGAATGACTGGTTCTACCTGCATACTCTAACAACTAGCTTCTACTGAGGATTAATCTCATGTATGAAGCAAAATTTTCTTGTTTAATTTTGGAGGAGAGAAAGAAGAAAAACAATTCAGGTGGTTGTTTATTTCACCGTATATGATTAGAAATGGTTTCATTTATGTCCATCCAAATGAACAAGCAATTACTTTAAGAATTGGCCAAGCCAGTATTTTAAGTATTATTTCTAAAAGACTGTATATTTACTTATAGGTAAGAAGAAATTTACATAGTGTCATTGGAAGCATGAAACCTAACTTTTTTAATCATCCTTTCTAAGCTAATTCTAAATCTTAAAATTATACCAATGAAATACATTCACTTGTTTTAAGGCCCCATTGCAAAGGAATATTGTATTTGGTGGGTTCTTAATCTCTAAAAGAGAGTGATGAGGGGAGGATTTCATAATTAATTGATGAGAAATTATAACTACAAGATTAAGTCAGAAGACATATCACAAATTTTAAAGAAAGATGGTAAGTATTGGTGATGCATTTTGAGGTCAAAATTCATAGAAAAAAAATAATTCAGTCATGTGGTTATCAGTTCTGTTATTTTTTCATTAGCCCTGAGGCTCAAACTAAGTTAGCAGAAGCTATAGGTCAACCACAACTAAACTACTCTTTTCACATATCAAATCCTGTAGGTTTAATATAATTGTTAAATGATGAAGAGATTGAAGCTATCCTTATTCATTCTATTTTCTATATACTTTTTTTAGCTTTTTAAACAATTTTATATTTTTTTCAGTAATCTGTATGCCCAACGTGAGGCTCAAATTCACAATCCCCAAACCAAGATTTACATGCACCGAGTAAGGCAGCCAAGTGCCCTGTATTATCTGTATACATTTAATTAAAATCCCTTCTATTTGGAACTAGGATATTTGGTTAGTGCAGATCTCAAAGTTACCTTCCTGCTCAAAATAATTTTATAATATTAAAATTTCATTTTCTACATGGGAGTCATACTTTCTGAGCGTCAATATTGGCAACTTTACTGATTTGGTAACACTAACACTAAGGATTGGCAGAATTAATATTGTGAAAATGTCAATGTTACCCAGGGCAATTTACACGTATAATGCAATCCCTATCAAAATACCATGGACTTTCTTCAGAGACTTAGAACAAATTATTTTAAGATTTGTGTGGAATCAGAAAAGACCCCAAACAGCCAGGGGAATTTTAAAAAAAGAAAACCATATCTGGGGGCATCACAATGCCAGATTTCAGGTTGTACTACAAAGCTGTGTTCATCAAGACAGTGTGGTACTGGCACAAAAACAGACATATAGATCAATGGAACAGAACAGAGAACCCAGAAGTGGACCCTGAACTTTATGCTCAACTAATATACGATAAAGGAGGAAAGACGATCCACTAGAAGAAAGACAGTCTCTTCAATAAATGGTGCTGGGAAAATTGGACATCCACATGCAGAAGAATGAAACTGGACCACTCTCTTGCACCATACACAAAGATAAACTCAAAATAGATGAAAGATCTAAATGTGAGACAAGATTCCATCAAAATCCCAGAGAAGAACTCAGGCAACACCCTTTTTGAACTTGGCCACAGTAACCGGAGAAGGACAAACAGTGTATGTTCTCATTCATTTGGGGAATATGAATAATAGCGAAAGGGAATATAAGGGAAGGGAGAAGAAATGTGTGAGAAATATCAGAAAGGGAGACAGAACATAAAGACTTCTAACTCTGGGAAATGAACTAGGGGTGGTGGAGGGGGAGGAGGGTGGGGGGTGGGGGTGAATGGGTGACGGGCACTGAGGGGTACACCTGACGGGATGAGCACTGGGTGTTATTCTGTATGTTGGTAAATTGAACACAAATAAAAATTAATTTAAAAAAAAATCAGCAATTAATACTCCAATGTTAATAAAGCAAGGGTCATTTCTTGATTTGTTTGAGTTTCTCAACCACTCTGTGGTAAAGTTCTGTCAGATTTTCTTATTTTACAAATGAGATGATTTAAATTTTAAAAAATTGATTTGTATCCAAATTCACACACTGGTATTATTAGTATTGGAACCTGGGTCCCAACTGTTTGTCTTCATATAAACCTTTTCCCATATGTTTTTTCTTTGAATTATGCAGCATCAAGAGTCTTTAAGGGTTTGGCAAAAGGCATGCATTGAACAAATATTGAAAAGAAAGTCATACTATTATTCAAAGCACTGTGAAGAAATTGACTTGCAAATTATGATACACTGAGTTAAGAACAAAACCACAAAGGTAAAATTGCCTTCTGCTCTTCTTCCTTTTGGATTTAACTATTGCTTTATTCTGTGGTTTGTTTAAATATATGATTTGTATTGATGTGCCTATAAAAATAAACTTTCCATATAAAACATCATCATTTTACTGTCACAAATCACTAAGAAAAAGATAAACAAGCAATTGAAAAATTATTCAAACCAACTCCGGGGTCTCCTATAGAGATTTTTTTTTTATCTTCTACTTTGTAAATATATATGTTTCATATAAATCTTTAGTTTTATTTTCTATCTAAGTATGTAACTATTTTGAAGAATAGATTCCACTAGTGAGCACTGTCAAGCTTTCCATTTGCCTCTATATCATTTAACAACTTTAATAACTTATTCTTGCATCTTTAACAAATTTGAGTTTGTAAGAACCCAGAGAAATATCCCTTTCAAGGACTTTGTTGTATATTCCTTTAGAATTGGAAAATGTTTGGCAGTCAATAGTAATTTTTAGACTTTTAAAAAATTTACTGATTGAATTCGCTCATTTTTATTAATGTTAAGATCAAACAAAATGTCCTGAAAGATTGACTTATAGAAATTTCATGAGACTAATCAGAAAAAAAAATCATTAAATATCAGATTTTATTTTCTAAAGTTCTGTGATCATATCCATTAAATATGGTTTCAGGTTACCAGTTTCATCATCCATATTCTCCATGTGCATGTCTGACATTGACTTGTACATTATGTCTTTTCAGGGGACTGTTACACATTTTTATTGCAGTGGATCATGGAAAATAGGAACAACATCACTGTGTTTATTCTCTTGGGACTGTCTCAAAACAAGAACATTGAAATCCTCTGCTTTGTATTAGTTTTATTTTGCTACCTTGCTATTTGGGTGGGAAATTTGCTTATAATGATTTCTATCATGTGCAGTCATCTAATTGAGCAACCCATGTATTTCTTCCTTAATTACCTCTCACTCTCTGACCTTTGCTACACGTCAACAGTGACACCTAAACTAATGACTGATTTACTGGCAGAAAGGAAGACCATTTCCTACAGTAACTGCATGACACAGCTTTTTATCCTGCACTTTCTTGGCGGTGTTGAGATCTTTATCCTCACAGGGATGGCCTACGACCGCTACGTGGCCATCTGCAAACCCTTGCACTACACCATCATCATGAGCAGACAGAGATGCAATGCAATCATCACAGCCTGTTGTACGGGGGCGTTTATACACTCTGCCAGTCAGTTCCTTCTCACCATCTTCCTCCCGTTCTGTGGCCCCAATGAGATAGATCACTACTTCTGTGATGTGTATCCTTTACTGAAGCTGGCCTTCACTGACACACGTAGAATTGGTCTCTTGGTAATTGTTAATTCAGGTCTGATCGCTCTGCTGACTTTTGTGATTTTGATGGTGTCCTATTTTCTGATATTATACACCATCATGGCCTACCCTGCAGAGAGCCGCACCAAAGCTCTTTCCACTTGCGGTTCCCATATCACAGTTGTGGTTCTGTTCTTTGTGCCAGTTCTCTTCATTTACATTCGCCCAGCCACAACTTTTCCAGAAGACAAAGTGTTTGCTCTTTTCTACACCATCATTGCTCCTATGTTCAATCCTCTGATCTACACACTGAGAAACATGGAGATGAAGAATGCCTTGAGGAAAGTGTGGTGTCATCGTTTATTTTTGGAAGGGAGGGAACTCATATTAAAAGCATTCCAGAATTTCACTTTAGGATTCCACCCTGAGCCCTAAGTTAATAAGAAATGATATATACAAGGAATGTACAGTGATTGCAAAAAGCTAGCTAGCCCCAGATTGGAGCTCAGAATCCTTAGCATTTTCTTAGAGTCCCTTCTGATTGGACAATTGTATTATTTTTAAAAAATGTTTTTATTTCATTTTTAATGGAAATATTATTGACATACTGTCGCGGCCGGCGCGAGAAGGTCCGGATTCAGGAACCGAGGGCAAGGGGATGAGAAAGAAACAAGAGACTAAAAGTTCATGGGATAGGAGGTTCCATGCAGCTGATGGCTGCAATGGACAAGCTTTATTTTTGCATGTAGAGTTTATATAGCCTCTGTAAGCAGGCGGCTTATTTCTTTAAGGAGAAGTACATCTCGCGCACAAACATACATTGTTTTTAAAACTAACACCTGTTATTTGTTTAAGCAATAGAGCAGGAATGCCACATTTAGACTAAACAGTGAGGTTTGTTTATTAAGTAATGTCTGCCAAGGCGGTCATGTGTCAGGCCACCTTCTTGCTTACTTTATGGGAACTTGTCTCGATAACATTTTAAAGGAGAAGCAAATATGTACATTTACTTCCATAAGGGGGAAGAGCTAGGTGCAGTCCCAGCAGGTTGGCCAGGTATGACAAGGAGCCTTTGCTCAACCCAGAACCCTGCCTCGCACCGCAGGACTGCGGGTTGGCTAGGGACAACAAGGAGCTTTGGCTCAACTTGGAACCTTGCCTCGCACTGCGGGACCGCTCCCAACATCTCCCCCTATATTTTTCAAATGCAAAAAGTGAAGTTGTGCCTTAGAGGAGTTTAATTGATTATTGAATTTTTTGCAAGAGCAGGCAAACATTACATACATCAGAATTAATCCGATTATTAATGCCAAAAATATCCAAAAGGAATATTTCAGTGAATTGAAGGGATTAAAGCCATTTAACTGATTTAAGATCTCACCGGCTAAATCGCCGGGGTCTTCATAATGCAACATACTTTGACTAATGACGTCTATTTCTTGTTGTAATTTTAAGAGATCCAGACTAATATTAGCATGATTCCAAACCCCTTGTAAATGCATACGTACATTTTCCCATGATCCATTAAAAGGCAGTGGGGTAACACAAATATGTTTATAAGCGTCATGGCAAGTCAATTGGGTTATAGTTTTTAATACAACAAATTGATCACCAAGATATAAAACGGCTTCTTTTAAAGCTTCAATCTGCGCTTCAATTTTTTCATCAATTCTCTTTTGAGCATCAAGAGCAATAGTTACATTTCTAGCAAGTTCATTTACATGTTCAGCGGTCTGAGCATTTTCATGCAAAGATACAACAGATACAGTAGCAGAAGCAATAAGAGCAATAGTAGCCACTATCCCTGCAATTAAAAGTCCAAGAAATCTTCGAGTTCTTCTTAGCTTCTTCACCAATTCTTGAGCTAACTGCATACCAAAGTTCGCGTACCAAGGTCCTCTCACATCAACAGGGATCATCCAATATGGAGGTTGTTGCACCAGGAATAACTTTGTGTTGAAATCAATCTTCTTATCAAACTTGTGGCTTGTGAGGTTAATTTCCTCATTTGCCTCCATGATGGCAGATTCGTCTTACGAGTCTTCTTCCTCCGAGGAGGGCATAAGTTCAGCCGACTCATCTTCCTTCTCAGTTTTGATATCTCTAACAAATTTGGCTGGAACCCAGCGCGGCGCTTTCTTATCCTGTGGGAAGATACAAGCATATCCTCGACCCTGTCTAAGCAAGGGGTCAGGCCTTTCCACTGTCCTGTCATAGGATCCTTCCACTTTGCCATAAGGGGTGGATCAGTATTTTTTCCCCAATGTTTTTCTGATGGTGTATATCCATCATCATGCACAATCAAAAAATTTAAAATGAATATTGCTAAGTCTAGGTGCATGTGGGGGGAATATTTCATTTTTCCTGCCATAATCTCCCCCTTTTTTAGTTTTTGTAAGGTATTTTTAAGTGTAAGATGAGCTCTTTCAATAATAGCTTGACCTGTAGAGTTGTAAGGGATGCCTGTGGTATGCTGGATGTGAAATGTCTCACAAAAGGTTTTAAAAGCTTGGGATATATAAGCACTCCCATTATCAGTCTTTAATCGTTTAGGCATTCCCATGTAAGCAAAAGCGTGAAAAAGATGATTTTGAACATCAGTAAAACTTTCACCAGAATGAGCGGAAGCTACGATCATGCCAGAATAGGTATCAATAGAAACATGCACAAATTGTAATTTATTAAAAGATGAATAATGTGTTACATCCATTTGCCATTAGGTTTTAAGATTATTAAGTTAACATTTTCTGTCAAATCTCTTTGTTGGAGCTGTGCAGAGGAAATTTTATTTGCTACTAAAGCCAAGGCATCCTCTGCTTCTGGAGTAAGCTGTCTCAAAGATGAAGGGGAGGAGTCCCCTTTTAAAATAGAAAAAAGGGGCTGTAACTGAGAAGTGGTGAGAGACAGCGAAGGGCGGAGCCAATTTATATCACCTAATAATTTTTGGAAGTCATTTAAAGTTTTTAATTGCGAGGTTCTAACTGCGATTTTCTGTGGCCTAATACTCTGTTTACTAATAAGATATCCTAAATACTCAAAGGGAGCTTCTCTCTGTACCTTCTCAGGAGCTATTTGAAGTCCAGCAGAGCTAAGACATTGGGAAAGAACCCGAAAGGCGTTAGCCAGGTGTTCACTGGTCTCTGCTGCCAGTAATAGGTCATCCATATAATGGAATACAATATACCTCAGGGAATCGTTTCCTGAAAGGGGATTCCCGTTAGAAACAGTTTTTGAACTACATTCATTAGCCCAATGATATCCTCTGTGGCATCTAGGGCAAAGGTTTTGGGGTTTTTTTGTAGTTTGAGAAGTTTTTTTTTTGAGGGTATTGATTTTTAAAATGCCCCAATTGGCCACATAAGAAGCATTTTTTATTTATTTTCATGTTTGGGTTTTTATTTTGTTTTAGTATCTGAGCATGCGATTTTGCAGGAGAGATGCCTTTAAAAGCAGCAGCCAAGGTGACTCCCTGCAAATACGAGGGCCCTATATCTGCGCAAAGGCACACATAATCTTCAAGAGTTCCCTGGTTCCTCCAAGGTCTTATGGCTGCTTGACAGGTGGCATTAGCATTCTCAAAGGCCAATTGTTTAACTATTAAAGTGCCAGCTTCCGCATCCGTGACTATTCTACTGACTGCACTTAACAATCTGGCCACAAAATCAGAATAATTTTCCTCAGAACCTTGCCTGATTTTTGACAGTTCCTGTGACCTTGTATTTGTGGCAGGTAGCTTTTTCCATGCCGACAGAGAACAACTATTAATTTGGGTATAAGCTACTTCAGGAAAATTCAATTGCAAGCCTACGTCATAATACGGACCAGAACCAGTTAACATGTTGTAATCAACAGGAATGTTAGTTCTCCTATTGTAGCTGGCCTGTTTTTCGGCATTTTCAGAGATAAAGGTGGGGGAGGAGGTTTAGCATGACTTAAAACAAAAATCTCCTCCCTTCTATCTTTAAGGTAGGGACCATCAAACGGATTCTCTTTTTCATCATCTATTCTAAGGGATAGTTTATGTAAAGGGGGAGTATGGATTTTTTTATTTTTTAAGCTCCCCCCCCCATCGAGGGTGGTGACTCTTTTTCACTTTTAGAATTCAAGGAGATAATCTCAATAGAGTCTGTAGGATCCAGAACCTCCTTTATACAATTCCATGTAGTCCATATATCAGGAGGCAGTTGTTCCCCTCTTATTTTTAATTCATTTTTTAGAGTCTGTCCAACTCTCTGCCAATCCGAAAGAACCACCAAGCCCTGATCAGGAAACCAGGGGCATATTATTCCAACTGTATCAAAGAACTTATCCAAAGAGTTATGAGAAACCTTAAACCCCTTTTCCCTTAAAAGAGCCTGTAGAACTTTTAAAAAATACCCATGTTCTACAGATTGCCTTTGTTCAATGATTATTTTACTCCTATCGTTCACGGAGCCGCCGTGATCCCCTTACCTGTACCGTAAACACTTCTTCTTTCACTCTGTCTCGAGTCCCTGTTCGGGCGCCACTTGTCGCGGCCGGCGCGAGAAGGTCCGGATTCAGGAACCGAGGGCAAGGGGATGAGAAAGAAACAAGAGACTAAAAGTTCATGGGATAGGAGGTTCCATGCAGCTGATGGCCACAATGGACAAGCTTTATTTTTGCATGTAGAGTTTATATAGCGTCCGTAAGCAGGCGGCTTATTTCTTTAAGGAGAAGTACATCTCGCGCACAAACATACATTGTTTTTAAGACTGACACCTGTTATTTGTTTAAGCAATAGAGCAGGAAGGCCACATATAGACTAAACAGTGAAGTTTGTTTATTAAGTAATGTCTGCCAAGGTGGTCATGTGTCAGGCCACCTTCTTGCTTACTTTATGGGAACTTGTCTCGATAACATTTTAAAGGAGAAGCAAATATGTACATTTACTTCCATAAGGGGGAAGAGCTAGGTGCAGCCCCAGCAGGTTGGCCAGGTATGACAAGGAGCCTTTGCTCAACCCAGAACCCTGCCTCGCGCCGCAGGACTGCGGGTTGGCCAGGGACAACAGGGAGCTTTGGCTCAACTTGGAACCTTGCCTCGCACTGCGGGACCGATCCCAACAGTTTTATTAAGTTCAAATTAGCATATAGTGTATTATTAATTTTTTTAATAATAAATTTATTTTTTATTGGTGTTCAATTTGCTAACATACAGAATAACACCCAGTGTTCATCCCGTCAAGTGCCCCCCTCAGTGCCCGTCACCCATTCACCCCCACCCCCCGCCCTCCTCCCCTTCCACTATCCCTAGTTCATTTCCCAGACTTAGGAGTCTTCCATGTTCTGTCTCCCTTTCTGATATTTCCTACCCATTTCTTCTCCCTTCCCTTCTATTCCCTTTCACTATTATTTATAATCCCCAAATGAATGAGAACATATAATGTTTGTCCTTCTCTGATTGATTGACTTATTTCACTCAGCATAACAGCCTCCAGTTCCAACCATGTTGAAGCAAATGGTGGGTATTTGTCATTTCTAATGGCTGAGTAATATTCCATTGTATACATAAACCACATCTTTTATCCATTCATCTTTCGATGGACACCGAGGCTCCTTCCACACTTTGGCTATTGTGGACATTGCTGCTAGAAACATCTGGGTGCAGGTGTCCCGGCGTTTCATTGCATCTGTATCTTTGGGGTAAATCCCCAACAGTGCAATTGCTGGGTCAGGGCAGGTCTATTTTTAACTCTTTGAGGAACCTCCACACAGTTTTCCAGAGTGGCTGCACCAGTTCACATTCCCACCCACAGTGTAAGAGGGTTCCCTTTTTCTTCGCATCCTCTCCAACATTTGTGGTTTCCTGCCTTGTTGACTTCCCCATTCTCACTGGTGTGAGGTGGTATCTCATTGTGGTTTTGATTTGTATTTCCATGATGGCAAGTGATGCAGAGCATTTTCTCATGTGCGTATTGGCAATGTCTATGTCTTCCTCTGTGAGATTTCTCTTCATGGCTTTTGCCCATTTCATGATTGGATTGTTTGTTTCTTTGGTGTTGAGTTTATAAGTTCTTTATAGATTTTGGAAACTAGCCCTTTATCTGATATGTCACTTGCAAATATCTTCTCCCATTCTGTAGGTTGCTTTTAGTTTTGTGGACTGTATCCTTTGCTGTGCAGAAGCTTCTTATCTTGATGAAGTCCCAATAGTTCATTTTTGCTTTTGTTTCTTTTGCTTTCGTGGATGTATCTTGCAAGAAGTTACTGTGGCCGAGTTCAAAAAGGGTGTTGCCTGTGTTCTACTCTAGGATTTTGATGGAATCTTGTCTCATATTTAGATCTTTCATCCATTTTGAGTTTATCTTTGTGTATGGTGCAAGAGAGTGGTCTAGTTTCATTCTTCTGCATGTGGATGTCCAATTTTCCCAGCACCATTTATTGAAGAGACTGTCTTTCTTCCAGTGGATCGTCTTTCCTCCTTTATCGAATATTAGTTGACCATAAAGTTCAGGGTCCACTTCTGGATTCTATATTCTGTTCCATTGATCTATGTGTCTGTTTTTGTGTCAGTACCACACTGTCTTGATGACTACAGCTTTGTAGTACAACCTGAAATCTGGCATTGTGATGCCCCCAGCTGTGGTTTTCTTTTTTAAAATTCCCCTGGCTATTTGGGATCTTTTCTGATTCCACACAAATCTTAAAATAATTTGTTCTAACTCTCTGAAGAAAGTCCATGGTATTTTGATAGGGATTGCATTAAATATGTAAATTGCCCTGGGTAACATTGACATTTTCACAATATTAATTCTGCCAATCCATGAGCATGGAATATTTTTCCATCTCTTTGTGTCTTCCTCAATTTCTTTCAGATGTGTTCTGTAGTTTTTAGGGTATAGATCCTTTACCTCTTTGGTTAGGTTTATTCCTAGGTATCTTATGCTTTTGGGTGCAATTGTAAATGGGATTGACTCCTTAGTTTCTCTTTCTTCAGTCTCATTGTTAGTGTATAGAAATGCCATTGATTTCTGGGCATTGATTTTGTATCCTGCCACGCTACCAAGTTGCTGTATGAGTTCTAGCAATCTTGGGGTGGAGGCTTTTGGGTTTTCTATGTAGAGTATCATGTCATCGGCGAAGAGGGAGAGTTTGACTTCTTCTTTGCCAATTTGAATGCCTTTAATGTCTTTTTGTTGTCTGATTGCTGAGGCTAGGACTTCCAGTACTATGTTGAATAGCAGT